ACAAGTAAAATTTTTAAACTGTTCGTATTGTACAAAATTAGTTTTATACAAATGTTGTATAGAGTACAAAATTAGATTATCCATGTTCATACCATATGAAGCATGATTTGATTTAATAGTTCATGCTATATGATATATGGTTCATACAGATGATGATCATAATATGAAATGGGTTTGTACAAAATTGTACTGGATGAACTTGCTAAGTTTTGAACTGTTCATATTATATAATGTTAGTTCATACATATGGCTGACACAGTATGAAATCAGGTTCATACAACATCATATATGGATATTTTAACTATTCATATGTAAGAAGTACGGTTATACTATACGATCTAAGTACATCCAACTTGAAATTTTCAATTATTTGGATGATTTTTCATGTCCTTTCTAAAGAAGTGTCCTAAAAATTGACTATCAATAATTTTCTTCTACAAATTTTCTTTTGAGAGTGAGTGTTTTGGGAGAGTGTTTAGGACAGAGGATTGAGAGATCTTGTAATTAGAATTTGTTAAAGGTTCAAAAGGTTGCCCAAAGGTGAGAATCTCTTTATAAGTTATTTAATTCTTTGTCCTACTTCTTTGAAGACTATTAAGAGAAGATTTTTAGAGAAGATTTAATACTATACCATCACCAGCATGGTGAGAAAGGATGTTGGTACTCTACCATCACTAGGTGGGTGAGAAAGGATGATGGTACACTGCCATCACCAAGAGGGCAGGAAAGGATGATGGTACTCTGACAACACAAGGAGGGTGAGAAAGAATGTCAGTACTATACCATCATCAGGAGGATGAGAAAGGATGTTGGTACTCTATTATCACTAGGAGGGTGAGAAAGGATGATGGTACTCTACCACATCGGGGTTATTAGAAGAGAGGTTATTGTAAGGAATTCTCCGCCTTACAGTGGGAGCAAAAGAAAATTTAATTTAGTATAATGCAATATCTGAAGAAGGAGTTTTCATGGAGGGGACGTAGGTCTAGTTGGACCAAATCACTAGAAAAATTTTGTGTTCTTCTGTCTTTATTTTTATAGCATTTTTATTTTTTATACATTTACGTTCAATGGTTGAAAAATTATTTTGAAAAATTAATCATTGTACAAAAGAACTTAAATAAGTTTTTTGAAAATCCAAGAGATTTTTTTTACAAAAGAACTTAAATAAGTTTTTTGAAAATCCAAGAGCCCCCCCCCCCCATCTTGGTTAGCCTTGGTACAAAACTATTAAGTATAACAACCTATTTGAACTTTTAAGTGCTATCAGAGCTTATATTCAAAAATTAAAGCTTAGACACCTTTTGAAAATGATCATGGCCTATTTTTGAAACAGTTACACTCCTGAAGGATATTTGATCAATAGATCGTCACTGTTTGATAACATCCCTTTTGACTTTTGGAAAACCTATATTTTTACCTTTTTTTAATCGCTTGACTATCGTATATGGATTTTAGTACATGAAGGTTAAAGTAGAACCACTAGACTTATTAATGGCATTAAGATTGTAATATCGTTTACTGATTGGATAGTAGAGGAAAAAGAATTAGCTTACTTAAATGCTAAATACTTAAACAATTTTTTTTTTGCCTTAAATCTGAGGACTATATCCATGTTTCAACTTGTAAAATGGGAAAAGAAATTTAGGATAGACTTTGCATAACGTATGAAGGAATAAATGAAGTAAAATAGTCTAGATTTAACATTATATTACATGACTATGAACTTTTTCACATGAAACTGAATGAATCAATCATTGATATGTATACTCATTTTATATAAATAGTCACTTCCTTGCAATCTTTAGGTAGGGAATTAACGAATTCATTGAAAGTTAATAAAATTCTTCATTATTTACCTACTATTTATGATGCAATGATTACTTCCATATCTGAATCAAAAGATCTAACTATTTTTTCTATTGACAATCTTCTTGTGTCACTCATTGTTTACGAGGAAGGAGTGACTCAAAGACAAATTGATGCAATTGACAAGTAGAAGGAGAAAAACATTGCATTGAAAGTGGATAACTTGAAAAGTGATCAGTCATAGCCTAAGGATAAAGTTCATATTGCACTCATGATGAGGCAATTTAAAAGATTCTTGAGAAGAATATAATAGAAATGTTAGTAGTGGAATAAGGGTAAGTTCTACGAAAATATAAAAGCTTATAATTAGGGATGCAAGCAAACCAAACGTTGGGCGAGCTACTTGTTGTTCAGTTTGATTAAAGCTCATTTGCGATCGTTTAATTAACTTAACAAACAAACTTGAACAATATTTTAAATACTTGATTCTTAAATAAACAAACTGGAACACTAATGCATTCGGCTCATTTATGTTTGTGAACAACATCATTTGAAGTTCGTGAACAAGCTCGACATTAAGCTCGATAAGAAGCTCAATAAAAGCTCGATTCATGTTCAATTTTGAACTCATGAATAAGCTCGATAAAAATAATTAATATTTGAAAATATAATTAATAAATATAAATAATCATTACATTTGGTACATAGACAATTGCTTTTATTATAAATGTATTTGTTCATAGATATGTTCATGAACTTGTTTGTTTGATAGTTAAAAAAATTTGTTAAATATGTTTGCGAACAAGCTCGATAAACACTAAACGAACAAACATGAACTGAACATGAACCAAACATGAACACTCCTTAATTTAAATGAACCAAACATGAACACAAATTCTAAAGCTCGAACAAACATGAACCAAACTTGAACAAGCTGATATTAAATGAACACAAACATGAACACTCACATACTCGACTCGGCTCAGTTCGTTTGCAGCCCTACATATAATGATGTAATTTATTATGAATGCAAAAATCCTGGACACATCAAATATGATTGCCTGAATCTGAAATCTAATCCTAACAACGAGAAAGTTGAGGAGAATACCAATATTAGGAAGGGTAAGAAAAGATTATAGAGAGCATTATGGGTGGACTAGTCATCTAATTCTTTAAAAATAAAATCAAAGGATGAAGTCACGAACTTGTGCTTAATGGCAAATAATCTTGATCACTCTGATCAAGAGGACATATATGATCGTATGATGAGTTATTTAAAGTTTCTAAGAAAATCCATACTGCATATAGGAAACTTAAAAAATAGCATGCTCAGTTGAACATAGAGTATTCAAATTTACAAAAAGAGCACAAAGTCCTTAGAAATAATCTTGCATTAGTTGATAGCAACCACATGAAATTATTGAATGAATTAATAATTTGATAAAAAATATAAATTATAGAAAATATCTTATACTGATCTTAAAATTAATGTAAGGTGTTAACATATAAAATAATCAAAATGTAATATGAGTTAGGAGTTGACAATGTTGTTTTAGAAAGTGCTAAATAATATCTTAAAGAAAAACTAAAAGCTCTTGAGGAAAACATAATATCCTCAACACTTGAATAATTTTCTAATCTTGATAGAAACATAAAATTTCAAAACCTATGAAAAGATAATATAATTCTCGTAGATTGATAAATCCTTTTCCTAGAGTTAAATATATTTCATGTGGAATGATTAGTCATATCTCTCACACTTGCACGATTCATAGTAGAACATATTAATGCGGAGACCTAAGATGCATAAATCACAGCATATCAAACATACATCTAAGTTATTATTACCAAGAGGAGAATCTAAACTTATCTAGGTTCCCAAGTTTAATGTTTGACCATTTTGTAGAAAAGCTCTCATAAAAGTCCTTGTGAGAGCATTTGGTACCTAGACTATGGATGCTCAAATTATATGATTGGAGACACAATATAATTCATATCGCTAGAAACTAGGAATAGAGGTTAAGTGATATTGGCAGACAATACCACAAAGAAAGTGGTAGGTATAGGTACGTATGATTTGAAATAAGAGCAATATTTTCATTAAAAATATATTATTGGTAGAAGGCTTAAAGCATAACTTGTTGAGTATTAGTTAGCTTTATGATAAAGGTTATAGTCTTAAATTTTTTTCCCACAAGCTATATTATAAGCCAAGATGGAATTGATATGTTGCATGGAAATAGGGTAAATAATATATACATGTTTAATTTGAATTTTATTAAATATTTTAATGTTTTTTTTAAATAATTACTGATGAATCATGGTTATGACATATAAGACTTTAACATGTAAGAATGAAAAATCTTAAAATATTTGGTTAGACTAAGGATCTTAAATTACCTAGAAAGATTTGGTTAGAGGGATACCCAAACTAGATTTTACAAAGGATCGCTTGTCTGATGCACATAAATTAGGAAATCTGGTGAAGTTCTTAAAACTAACAAACCATTAGAAGTCCTATGTATAGATCTTTTTAGACCGATTAGCATTATAAGTCTAGGAGGTAAGGTTTTGGGATTTGTAATAGTTGATAATTTTTCAAGATTTACTTGGGTTAAATTCTTATTTCATAAGAGTGAATCTTTCTTTTGCGGGGAGTCTCAAATTTGATAACTTAGGAGAGAGAAGATCCATTTATTCTGGTTGAAGAAGAATTTTGAATTTTCGTTCGTGGTTTTTTTGCAGGACGCTAATGGCGTCGGAGGATCGCCGGACTTAGGCTTCTGGAGTCTCAGTCAACCTCCATCAACCTCCGCCATCATCTCGAAAGATCTTACGACAGTTCGATTCATCTCCGCATGCTTTTGGAGACATTGTTCACGAGAAGGAAATTATGTTTCAGTTTAACAAAGAGCGGCCATTGATCATCAAGGATGGAGCTTTTGAAGAAAAAAAGAAGATCGTTGAATGTGTTGGAAAAGGTAAACAAATTCTCTATGAAAAATCCATATTGAAGTCTTACTGTAAACAAGGAACAATTCAAAAAAAAGTCAATCAAATCCAAATAGAGGAGTGTGCTCAATCTTCATGTAAGAATGCGGCAGAAGAAGTTAAGAAGAATTTGAATGGTGATTAGAATGATAACCAGATTACTGATGATCTGGGTATAGAAGGAGTCAATATGACGTCAAATGAACACAAAAGAAGTGGACAAGGCTATTCAAAGCTCTGACCTGTTCATAGTGCGGGAATGTGAAGCTGGAGATCTTGGGAATTGCATTCAAAGAAACAATGTGGTTGATTCGAATCCTGTTACTGAAAAACAGGGGATGAATGCTTGGAAAAAGAAGGATAATATAAAAGTGTGTGAACTTGATTTCGGAAGCAATTTTGTGAATGAAGACAGAACTATCAAACTACATATGGGAAAAGAGGTTGTTAACTCAAATGGACTGAAAAAGTCTCTGGTTATAAAGATATTTTGTAACAACATTCCCTTCAATGTCATTAGCATTGAGTTAAGAAAATAATGGTCCAGATTTGGCAAATTTCATTTAACCCAACTAGGTCTTGGTTGGGTGCTTTGTGCCTTCGAGAATCAGGAAGCTCTTGAAGAAATAATTGTTTCAGGTCCCTGGTACGTCAATGGAAACATAGTGGGAATGGACAGATGGTCAGCAACTTTCTCACCTAATTCACTTCAAGGTCTTACAACCATAATTTGGATCCGTTTGCCAAACCTTCCACTTCAATGCTGGGATGAAGTGAATGTTTGTAGAATTACTTCCATGGTGGGGATCCCTTATTTGATCGATGGCAACAGGTTCCAGTGGTCCAAAAGAGAGTTCACAAGAGTTTTCGTGAGAATCAAACTAGATGAGAAGCTACCCATGGGAATTTGGGTTGAAGCAGAGCTGGGAAAATTTTATCAGAACATTGAATACAAAATGCTGCCAACATTTTGCTTCATTTGTGGTAAGATTGGCCACTTAAGGGAGGAATGTTTGAAGAAATCTTCAGCAAATGAACCTAATCCAAGAGATGAAGACCCAATCAGTGCAGGATTAGAAGGAAATGGAGATGCCAGGAAAACTGTCAAAAATAGAGTTAGCTAGATAATGGAAAATAGATGATGATGGAGAAGGTTATGGTCCTTGGATTAATGTGGACTACAAAGCTAATAAGATTAATAAAAAAATTTCTGTGACCAAGTAAATTATAAAGGCAAAATCTACCTTGGAAGGGATCTTAAAGGAAGTTGTTAGACCAAACAATTCTAGCAGGGAGTTTGATGGGAATTTCCTGTTAAAACAAATTTCAATTGATTATAGTATGAATCAAAAAGCATGTGAAGTGGTTAATGATTATACTCCTAATGTAGAATTTTGCTGTATCATGGATGATAAAAGACCTGAAAAGGTTTCTGAGATCAAAATTCCAGATTCTACAAATAAGTTTGAAATTCTGAGTAACATAGTAGAGGAAGGGGAAAAAATAGAGGAATGTTTACATCCTAAGGAACATGAAGATATTCAGACAGAGATAGCTAATGGGGGTTCTAATGTTATTGAAGGTAATTCGTCCACGGTTAAGAAGTGAGGTACTAAGCAGTTAAAAAACTGGGACATATCAGCCTGAAGACAAGGGGTAGGAAAAATGAAGAAGATGCTAAGGAGAAAGGGGGAATTAAATACCCATTGATCCATAAATGAATTCCTTATTATTTTGGAATTGTAGAGGAGCTAAGAAAAAATGGGCTTCTCTCTACCTCCAGGAGGTGGTTAAAGATCAAAATTTTATTTTTGTTGGGCTTTTGGAGACTAAACTAGTCTCTATTGAGAATAAAGATGTGGAGATTATGATTTGAAATGGATGGAATTACAGCTTTGTGCCATCTGCTGGTTTATCTGGGGGCATCCTTGTTATGTGGAGAAGCAGCCAAGCTAAATTTAAAATGATTGAGTCTTCTTCTCAATTCTTTGTAAGTGATTTAGATATCACTAATAAAGGAAAATGAAGAGTAGCTACTATTTATGGTAGCAAAAATGTGTACAATAGAAGGTTTCTTTGGAACGGCTTGGAAAAACACATCACCAATGATTGGCCTTTGGTGTTTGGTGGAGATTTCAACTGTCTTTTGGCTAAAGAAGACAAGATTGATGGCAGGAAATTTACATTCTCTATAGGGCCGAGAGAGATGAAATACTTTATGACTTCAAATGATCTTCATGAGCTGAACTTCATTTGTCCTAGAAAAACCTGGAGCAATAATAAGAAAGGAAATGAAAGGATAATGTAATGATTAGACTGAATTCTGGTTAATGCTGCTGCAATGAACTGCAATCAATACATAGTTACAAAACATCTTCCTAGAATAGCGTCTGATCATTATCCTATTCTTCTCCATACTTTAGTTTTTCCTTCAAACATCAAGAGATCTATCAAATTTGAGGATGTGTGGGCTTCATATCCGGCTTCCTATGCTATAGTGAAAAATGCTTGGATGAGAAGAGACTTAGGATCTCCTGCGGAAATTCTGAATTACAAATTCAAAAGGACTCTCAAATCCTTATTCTTTTGGAAAAAGGCTAAGCACAAAGAATTAAATCACATGAAGGACTTGCTCAAAGAAGAAATTCTCATGCTCTAAACTAAAGAATCGGAAGTTGGTATGCTTTCCATGAATGAGTATTCGATTCTGAAATTTAAAATCAGTGAGCTCAACTCTACTTTGGCGAGGTTAAACACATGGTGGAGACAAAGATCCAAAGTTAAATGGATAGAAGAAGGAGACTAGAATTCAAAATTTTTTCACTCTATGGCAAGTCTAGAAAGAATATTAATCTAATTCATTGCATTAAGGATGGCAATGGAATTCTGGTGGATAATCAGAATCAAATTGAAGACATTTTGGTACACTACTTCAATAATAAGTGGCGAGATAGAAGTTGTTTACTTGAAGGCTGGCCGAATAGACAATCTGTTCTGGATGAGGATAATAAAAGACTATTAAGTAGAGAATTCAGTTTTGAAGAAGTAGAAAATGAAATCAAAGATACCACGGGAAGTTCTTCTCCAGGTGAAGACGGCATTACTTATTCTTTTCTCAAACATTATTGGCTTATTATAAAAATAGAATTCTGGGAAGCTATGAAGAACTTTCTTGAAACCAGAAGTATGAATGAGGATTGGAAGAGAACTTTGATTGTTCTGATTCCAAAAATTAACAATCCAAAATGTGCTGATAATTATAGGCCTATTAGCCTGTGTAACACGGTGTATAAAATTGCAACAAAAATTCTTCTTAGCAGAATGAAAGGAATTATCCCGAAACTAATCTCACTTGAATAAACCACCTTTCTTAGAGGGAGATCTCTACAAGACCATATTTTGCTTGCTAATGAACTTATTCCTAAGTTTAGATTCTCAAAAGCTTCTAAAGGGCTTGTGTCTATTAATTTAGACATGGAAGAAGCATATGACTCTATGGGATGGCCTACTCTTAAAAAAAATCTTGAATATTTTGAGTTTCCTGATTTCTTCTCTATGCTTATTTTAGAATCTGTACAGAATCCTGCATTTTCTATTTTAATTAATGGAACTCCTTCCAAATGGATCAAAGCTAGGTGTGGATTTAGACTAGGGTGCCCCTTGTCTCCTTATCTTTTTATTTTATGCTCTCAGCTCCTCTCCAATGCCATAAATGAAAGAGTTTATTTTGGTGTTCGGGTTAGCAGCAACAGCCCAAGAATCTCGCACTTATTATATGTTAAAGACATAATCTTATTTGCTGAAGCTAAAATAAAAAATGTAAGAATGATAAAAGGGATTGTTAACAGTTACTGTGACTGGACTGGATAGAAGGTGAACACGAGCAAAACGGCCACCAGCCTGAAGAGGAGAAAAATCAAAAAAATCATGGGATTCAAAGAAGTGAAGGAATTCAATTACTTGGGAACAAAATTGTCTGTAAAAAGACTATCAAAAGTAGATTTCCAATTCATATTGGATAAAATTATGAAGAAACTGACTAATTGGGGGACCAGATTTTTCTCCTTAGCACATAAAATTACCTTGGCAAAGTATGTCATTCTATCGATCCCTTCTTTCCATTCTACTATGTCTTTAATGTCGACATCTATTCTTAAAGAGGTGGAAAGGATTTTCCAAAATTTTATATGGAATAAATCAAATGAAAATCTTGGAATGCATTATGTTAGCTGGAAGAAGTTGTGTGATCCTGTTGAACAAGGCAGTAGAGGGATTCAATCCTGTTTGAGCAAAACAGGTCCTTTAAGAGCTAAATTAACATGGAAATATATGAAATAACATGATTCTTTATTGCATAAATTTCTATTTCCAAAAGATTGGTTCCTGTTGGGGAGTAGAAAACAGGAACAAATATGTTTCTGTAGCATGGAAAATTATCAAAGATGGCAGCAAATCCTTGAGAAATATTGTGAGATGGAATGTATCAAATGGTCGCTCAATTGATGTTTTTGAAGATACATGGATTTGGGATAAATGCTTAAACAAATGGCCTAAATTATTTAACTCTCAAGAAGCTGGTGCTGATGCTATTAGAGTGGATTGTTTGATTTCTGAAAATCAATGGAGTATTCTAGATATTAAGAAATATTTTGGCAAAGAGCTGATGGATTTAATTCGTAGAATCGATATAAATTCAGGACTAATTTAAGATCAATTTCATCTCATTCACATGAAATATGGAAGGAATATTACTTACATGGCTGCGGATCAAAAAGAAGATAAATCAAATGAAAATGTAGAATGGAAATGGTTGAAAAAAGCTAAACTTTGTGCAAGAGAAGACAATTTCTGGTGGAGAGTCATGAACAATGCCTTGCCTACCAATGCTTTTTTAACACACAGAAGAATTCATACGGAATCTAACTTTCCTAGAAACTGTAATGAGGAGGAGAATATTAGCCATCTAATTTGTAAATGTCAAAAGATAGTGGATGTTATTCATCATTTGAATGAATGGGGCTTTTGCATTCCTCTTCTTGTAAATAAAGAAGAGATGTATAAATGGCTATCCGAGCAAAATTCTTTTCTCTCTACATTAATATGCAATGCAGTTTATTTTACTTGGAAGGATATGAATGATATAGTGCATGGCAAGAAGGAAAGAAGTTCTATCTACATAACAGCCGAAGCTGTTAGTTACCTAGGAGTTCTCAATACTCCAAATTATATCAAATCGGGTAGGTATAGAACTAATCAGCAATTGCTGTTTGAAAATCGTTGGTATTCTCCTCCGCCCAACTGGATCAAGGTGAATGTAGATGCTACATTATTTCATTCTTATAAAGGAGGTATTGGAGGACTGTCTAGAGATCGCAAAGGAAGATTTATAGCATCTTATGGTATATCTAAGTTGCATTGGGATATTACTAACTTGGAGTATCAAGCCATAGCTTCAATCAAAGAGATGTTAAAGGATCAGATGCATGGATTTCAAGGCATTATCATAAAGAGCGACAATATGAATGTTATAAAGTTGATTCATAAATCTTTCAAGAAAGGAGGCCAAGGTATGGAAAAATTTTCATTTGTGGATAAATTTAATTATGTGATTTTCAATCATGTCAATAGGAATTATAATAAGTTAGCGGACTTATGTGCTAACTATGAAGTTTTTTCTTCTTTCTTTTGGGATGATTTAATCCTTGACAAGGTTCCTTCTTCATTTATCAATATTTTGAAGAAGGAATCTATAGCTTGTATTCGGTAGGGATTTCTTTTGATCCCTATTTTTCTCTTTTATAGTATTTGCTTTATGCTTTCTCAAAAAAAAAAAATAAGAGTGAATCTTTTGAGAAATTTGTAAACTTTTTTACTTGGATTCAGAGGAAACTAGTGTGAAAAATTTTATTAATTCAAAGTGGTTAGGAGAGTTTAAAAATAAAAATTTTGATGATTTTTATAAAGGCCAAGGAATTGATCACAAATTTTTAGCACCTAGGACCCCTCAGCAGAATGAGGTTATCAAAAGAAAGAATAAAACTTTGATAGAAGCAGCTAGAGCCTTGTTGGTAGAATAATCACTTCCAAAATATTTTTGAGCTAAAGTGGTTAGTAGCGCTTGTTA